TGCCAAATTATATGGTAGAAATAGATTGACGATTTATTTATGTCATTAATATGCTGAATTATTTGTTTTTTGACGAAATGTTACACGAGTGGCATTATGTCGAATAAATATTTTTCGACTAGTGTTAGATTTCCGAAAAATCGATTGCTCGATCAACCACGTGAATACTTAGTCACATGTTATACTCCATGCATGATGTAATCGATATTTTTTTGTCGCGTGAATATTTTAGAAAGGGTAGTATATCTTCTATTTCCACGCTCTGATGGCATAACAAAATATACCTACGCCTGTATGTGACCTGGCCATTTATTTATATTGGACTCCTGCAGCCGATGTTTGGAAGGGGGACTTGCACGCCTACTAGGACTCATTACTGTTGTAATCCCCTTAGATAGATTCGTTGCAAGGGAACCCTTTCCAGTATATTAGATTTAATGAGTTTCCTATGTCCGTACGTGACCTGGCCATTATATTGGACTCCTGCGGCCAATGTTTGGAATGAGGACTTGCACGCCTACTAGGACTCATTACTGTTGTAATCCCCTTAGATAGATTCGTTGCAAGGGAACTCTTTCCAGAAACTCATCTTTATCAATGCCATTACCGTGATTTTCTTATAGTTAATGCTTACATTATTATATTTCTTAGTAACTAAATTATTTTCTTTTTTTGTATAGATGGATATTTCAAGCGGGATTTCTTCCTATTTCAGCAGTACAAATGTTGAAGCCAGCAAAAGTGTGTGCGCATTTGACATCAGGAGATTATGACGAAATTTTTGACAAATACAAGAACCATTTATTTTCAATATCTCATCTAATTCTCGCTTAAAAAAAGCTACAGACAAAGCCCTTAGGCTGAATGATGCTGCGGAACGTTCATTTCAACGCTAGAAGTTACCTCGTTGTTTAAAAGACTCGATACGTAAGTACGTTAATTAATCACCGTTAAATTTATGCATATGGACTAACCTATTTGACAGGTTGACATGAATGCAACCGACAGTCCTGCAAATGCCATCAATAATCTCGTGGACGCAAAAGAAAAATTATATGAATCGAAACTGAAGTCACGTGCATATTATAGATTTACGGATGCGAAAAATGATCGTTCATCCAAACGCTTTAGACAAGAGACAATAATTTCAGAAGAGGATAAAAAAAAAGTATAGTATCTTTTGATATTTTTTGTAAAATGCATTTTTTTTTTTTATACTGTAGTAAGCGTTTGAGCTCCTTTCCTTCTAGTCTGGCACAAATACAGTACCCAAAGCAGATGGTGATAATTTTGATGGCATGTTATATTAATGCAAATATGTAAAACATTGTGGTTCCTTTATAAAGATGCAGAAAGAGTCGAAGAGGAATCATATTCATCTAACTATGTGTCATCTTCTCTTATTGGTATCTTTTCCAAGTCTTATTCACAGCAACAAACATCAAGTGATTCGTCATCTTTGTTATGTTTTGAAGAAATATTTCGCAAACGAAAATATGAGTAAGTTTTAATGGTAGGTCAATAATATCTTTTGACTGCTGCTTACTTTATGTCTTTTTTTTTCTATTCCAGCCCATAGCTTCATTGTGGATTTGTCGCTATCTTCAAAAATAAGAGGGCAATTTAGTAATGAGGAGTGGGACGAGTTAGTCAAAAGAAGACCTGATGCGATCCGGAAATCCTACCATCATGAAATCGAGTCTATTATTTCTCACCTATTTAGCCAAAAAGTAAGTGAAAGTGAACTTTATCCCGTGTTGACACCTCTGATTTTAGATGGATCTATTACAAGCTCGCAAAAAATGGTATGAACTAAGAAATTGGGTTGCTCCTAAATACAACAATGAGCTCTCTTATACAGAGAACGACTGGGGAAAAAATAAAACGTTGGGTTGAACGAATAATAGGATAATTTTACGATATGGGTTTCCCTTTATTTACAATGTTATTGTGACTTCGAAATCCATTGCAAAATGATTGTCACGAACGAGAATGGATTGGTGATTATTAATACAAGGAGTTCTAAAATTAGATGGTAATTTCTATGTTCCATGGTAAGTTGCAGATCGCTCCATTTATCGTGCATGCATAACGCAATAATTTTACCCTTATCCTCAATGTTGTAAAGGGGGGAGATTTCTGTTCTAGCATCCCTACGTCACCGAAATAATTATAAGGATATACTCATCGAACAGCTTGAACGAAGCCACCAGGTGGATCTTTTATACAATTATGAGCAGTAAGAGATTGCCTGTACACTAGCTTGCGGTGGACCTTACTCCTACAATTTAACTAAGCTTGCTTCTGACGAGTTCAACCTTCCAAGAATAATTAAGGATGCTCGATGACCTGGGGTTAAAGCTTCTTAAGGCTGGAAAGGATCAATTCCGACCGTATTTAATAGGAATCCAGGTACTCTTGCAGTACAATAACTATTTTGCTTTATGAATTGTTGTTGTACTTATAAATTCGCTTGTACGACTCAGTCATATATGACAGAGATTCGAGTCTATTTAATGGAGAAGCGTGAGATATACTTCCTGCATCATTTAAAATCTTTAACCTCCCACTCACATTTTCAACCTATCACTACTTGAAAGTTGCATTAAGAGTAGCATGGAATATTCGGGTGAGTTTGTTTTAATCAACTTATGACATTGGAAATTTCTGACTATTATTTTAATGGATAACCATAGGGTTTGGTTAATTCCTTAGATCGGGAACTCGAGAAAATTATTATTAATGACGATAATGATGGATTTAAAACTCCACCAACTGTGTTGTCAAATAATATGAAGACCAACGAAACCCCACCAAAGCAACCAAAAAAAGAAATCAGAGAATTAAGAATGCGCAGTTATTATATTTCTGTTACAATCATGACTTGGTTTTCCCAATGACCTGTCAGTGAAGTTTTCATAATGTCTTAGCAAAAAACCATTATATAAACTAAATTTTTTCTTGGCTATAAATATTCCGCAATACATAACAATAATTAAAAAACCAATTTTTTTGCAAGTGATCGGTGTTACATATATTACGTGCATGTTTTTCCTGACCAAAATTATGATCAGTGTAATGCGCCAATTAAATAAAATGAAGCGCAATATTTACAGTATATTCTGATTTACTAGCGTTTAAAAAGTTCGCACAAAATTACGTGTTTATTATTGAGATCTGTACAAAAAAATAAATCACATTATTTTACAGCATAAAGTATCAAATCCGTACTAAAATTGAATCGCTATTATACATTATATACAGTGCCTAGTCATTGATTCTAATTTCGAATATATTTCTTTAATCATTTCCCCATAAATATATATTTTTCTTATATACTCTACTTTGTATTATTATAAAAAAATTGTTCTTTATGAAATGGCAAATGTTCAAACATGTTATCAGATTTTGACCGTGGTCAAATAATTGGCATGCATAGAGCTGGAGTCAAAAAGTAAAAAAATCAACATTCATCATTCAACAAATTTTCTACACAACTGTGCTATTTATAATTGACTGTTGAACAAATACTGGTTCTGTAATATCAAAGAATTTTCTGACCTTCACTATTTTTAAAGATCATAATCTTTGTCAAAAAAAAAATAGATATGTTCTTTACAAGCTATTATTCAAAAATTTAAATAAGGCTTAAAAATTAAGATTTTAAAATGTACTAATTATTATTACAGTACTTATATAATTTGAAATTAATGGCCTGTGCCATAATATTAAAACTATTATTATTTAAAAGATATATTAATTTTCAATTAATTTGAATAAGAGTTACTAGATAAAAAATTATTATTATTATTATTATTATTATTATTATTTTAATTCATAATCAAATCAACATAGCATATCTTTCACTAGTCAGAAAATATTTATTTGATATAGTATCACTCATATAATATTCATCAAAAAAATAAATAATTCAACATATTAATGCTATTTTTTTAAAACCCCTCTATCAGGCTAGATATATATGCTTTATTAAACATATATATACTTTACATTGGAAAATATATCACTAAAGCTAAGTCTCTATATAACTTACTTATCTCTATTTTAAGAATTATTAAAACTCTAAGTACAACTTTGAAAGTGATTTATCACTTTATTAGCAGTTCAAATAAAAATCTTTTCAACTATTAACTTTATTGCCTGCAGGTTACTACTACATATTATTCTATAAGGTTCTAATAAAGCTTAAAACTCAACTATTTTATTCTATATTCCACTCTTCTT